AAAAAAAAAAAAGAAGAAAAAAGAAATTAGCATGTTTGTTTACAAAAGTTTTCAAAATTGTAGATTTTTTTGGTTAAGTTGAGTTAATTTGAAAAAAACTAGTACGTAGCCCGTAGTAGCCCGTGTGATGTACGGATCAATAATTATAATTAGATGTTATAAAGCAATGAAGCAATATTGATTAGTATAAAAATAGTTTTCAGTATTAATAATTATTTTCTATTTTATTGTATGATATATAATAATTTAATATGATTTATATGTTTATTTAACTCGTTATAAAATAGTTGTCGTTTTAATTTCTGTTTATAATTAAGGCAAACAAAATTTAACGTAATCAAATATTATTGATAAATAATACTTACATAATACTTCTCTCTCTTTCGAATCCTAAATAAGTTAGGCTAAAGTTGAAAAGTTGTGACAAATATTATAACCAACACTTAATTGAAAAATATTGTAATATATATTTTTTGAATTTGAACAAATAATAACTTTTAATTACATGAATATTATTTTGTTTTTTCTTTTAATTTATAGTATTACGAATATTATAATTTTTTTTTCTAATCCGATAATTTATATGAGATTTGTTATGGTATATCATTTGTTACGAAATTAATAGAAAATCTTAGGAATTTATTATTAGTGTTGAAATATCAATTCTTTTATAGTGTACTATTAATTATATCAATAAGATTTTTGCAATTGGTTTTCAAATTTATTTTGTACTTATATTTTGCAATGTTTTCATACATATTTTGATCCAAATTTAGCTGGATACCCAACAAAACAGGAGAACACAAGATTTAGTTGTTTCATAATTTGTTCATTGTGAAAGTTTTCTATTAAAGAACGATTAATACGATGTACATTGTACAGTGCAATTTTACAAGATCTTATTTGAATTTTGACTTCCACTCCGATCATTTATACCAAAAAATATCAGTTATATTATTCAGATTTCTCATACAAAAAAAATCGAATCCAAAGCTTACATAAAAAATAAAATAAATAGAAACACACATTTATTCTAAAATAATAGGTCACATTA